CCACCGTTGCAGCTACAAAGTACAACCCCTTAGTTGATCAGCTTAGTGATGACAATTGGGAAGAGGTTGACCTACTTGTCAGCTTTCTCGAAGTCCCATTTCAACTCACTAAAGCTGTAGAGGGTAACAATAGCAATAATGGCTTTGGCTCATTGTGGCAAACACTTGTTGATCTGCAGACATTATGGGTACACTACAACGAGTATCAGGAGTTGATTGCAAACAATCCTATGGCTTTCTCACCATACTTCAAGAATGCTGTCAACATGGGATGGGAGAAACTTGATAGTTACTGGAAGAAGGTTGTCTTACAGCCACTTCCTAGCTACTATTGCATTGCAACAGCCCTTCACCCTCGCCTCCGCCTTACCTGGTTCAAAGATCACTGGCGTGACTTCCCCGACTGGCACAGCAAAGCTGAAAAGGACATCAGAAGTGTGTTCAATAAGTATGTTGCTGCCAACAACACTCCTGATGAGATAATGGCTGCCGAAGATCTCAGGAGACACCCACCAATAAGCCATACTGCCAGTCCATTTGCACGTACAATGACTATTGATACTATGCTACTTACTGGCAATCACAACCACTGGAAGCAACAGCAGCAGAAGAAGGAGTTAGATTGTTACTTTGATGACTTGCAAGAAGACCTCACCAACGACAGTATTGTTTCCCAGCAGCTTCTTGATGACCCTTGGCAGTGGTGGAAGCAAATTGGTCACAGCAAGTACCCTATACTCTTCCAAATAGCTGCTGATTTTCTTTCCATCCCATGTACTAGCTGTGAGTGTGAGCGCTGTTTTAGCAGTGCTAAACGCACTCTCCCTACTGATCAAAACTCACTTTCTCCGGCTACAATTGAGGCTTGTCAACTACAGAAGAACTGGGTCAAGAACCGGGTAGTGGCTAGCTCGAAGGAGCGTAGAGTAGGAGTTTCAGTTGTTCCTCGCTCTGGATTCGGGCGAGCAGGTGTAATCGCGTTTCGTCGAGTTCTAGGCGCAACTGATGCGGCAATGGGAGCATCTTCTGGCAAGGACTGTGTGGAATCCCGACTATACCAGCACCATCCGGAGGTGACTGCTCTGGCTCAGGTTCAGGGGTCGTTGACATTGTTGATTGCGATGGACACCGTGTGTGCGCAAGGAGTGCTCTGTACCGGAGGAGTTATGGTGAATAGTCAAGATATTTCTGACGAACTCGCACGTTTACATGAGGGAAATACAGCAAACAAAGACTGCCGTATGTCCATCTTGTGCAGTCATGGTGAACGGCCACTACTCAAGTATGCATCGCAGAGAGTCGCTGCCGGGTTGGCGAAGCGCAGTCCCGGTCTCATGTTGAGTACATAGCTGTTAATGAGTTGTGGCGGACCTGTCATGGAGTGAAGGTAGGACAAGGCAGGGGCAGGGGCAAGGGTAGCGGGAAGGCGCATGTACTAAACAAATGACACTGCGCAAGAAAGGGCGGAGAAACACAAAGAAATGACTGATCTCACCTAAAAGAGAAGCGGTAAAGGCAGAAGCTTTGATAGAAGTGGGTAGTAATTGTGTAGTATTCGGTGGGTGAGAGGAGCTCACTATATGATATGGACGCTAGTACTATCACGTGATGGCGAGCGGTTGGAAACCTTCACCTTGTCCTCTGACAAGCTTTCAGGAAGTTAAGAGGATGTAGTTGATAGAGAGTCACTTGTACCTGATGCGAATTAATTATACGAAGTTATGAAAAGAGCGATTTCTGCATGAAAATGACCAGCAGCGAAGATGGGGTTAGCAATGACTGTGGTATTGCCGGATCCACAAAGTAAGAACCAGACATTCGGATTGTTTGCCTCGTCAGACGGGTGTGTCGTCTCAGGAAGGCAGTCGCCTGTCAAATATGTGGAACACGTTGGTGACAATGCTGCTGGTCGATCCCTCGCTCTCTGAACCCTGGGCGTCTACAGCCGATGCCGCTGGCGACGCTGGACCTCGTGAAGATGATTGTCTTACTTCAACGCTATTGACAATCACTGGGAAGGTGGCGGTGGCCAGGTGCTCATCTGGCTGAGTTGGTGGAGTGAAAAACTGGAAGCCAAGAGGAGGTGCGACGTTCTGTCCAGCGAGATGGAGTAAGCTCAGGAACACGACCAAGACTGCCCAGGTTCGTGGTGGTACTGTTGGCGAATCCATCGATGCCAGGTAATCGTCTAGACAATGCAGATAACCGTGCTGCAAACATCAGTGGTATTGTGAGATCTGGGACCGGCGTTGCAAGCTCAGCACGAAGCCGCGTAAGTTGATCGTCGAGTTCGGCTATACGGGTCATGGTACGCTGATGGTTGACTTCTGTAGAAGCATCCCCTCTGCGTCCGACTGCTCGATGCACCTACGCGCAGTGTCTTACATCTCGGTGGATAATGCCTGGGAAGTTGCTAGTCGACTGTCAACCCCCGCAAGTCGCTCCTCTGTGGTTCGTAGTTGAATATCCCCGGACAAAGGCTCTCGTGAAGATGGTGCGAACGTCCGACTAGACATGCAATTCGATTGAGTAGGAGTGGCTTCGGTCTTTACCCACGGAGCTGGATTTATATCTAACCAAGCTGCATGATTTTGACCTTGTGGTTGGAAAGAGAATGCCGCTGGCTGTCTTGCTGGACGCGCATCTCCCCGCCGACATGCAAGCTCAGCTTCAAGCGACTGACGAACGCTGGGTGGTGGTAAAAACATCGTACTTTGCAAATGACCATAGATCTGAGCTCGCCTGAGCGATCTTAATAACGATAGATAGTGTTCTTGATTCTCCGTGGGCTCGGAAGGTACTGCACCATCATCACCAGGAGGCTGTTGCGGTGTGGAGGCTTCGGAGCCGGCCTCTCCGCGACGAAGAACAAGCTCTTCTTTATACTGTCGCCGCAGAATCTCTGGAATGTCTCCGCGCAAGAGCGATTCGATGGCTCGAAGGAGCGAGGTACAACTACATTAGGACGGGCCCAAATATCGCGAGGACTCACTGGCCCAGATCGACGAAGACGGTCACGAAAGATGAACTCGCGCTCTCGATCATCTCGTACGCGCTCACTTGGCTCTCTTATCCGCTGCGTCGCTTCTGCGATGCGTTCACTTGTCAGATTGGTTTGTGGAGGAGGCTGTAACGGTCCTCCACGCCCAACACCGCCACGACCGGAGAAGGAACCAAGAGGTATAGGCTCGTAAGGCACACTCAGCGGCTCCGGTTTGAACAGTTCCGTACACCAGTTCGGACATACGTCTCGCCTATGAGATCTGCTCTGGAATCACGGTAGGATACATGTCCAGTGAAACATGTGTCCGTACTTGACCATCTTGACCACATCGTCGGCTAGCGGCTCGAGACATGTGCTGCAAGTCGTGTCGGGCTGGGCGGGGACAGGGAGGACGCTGGTCATGAAGGGGTCTGCTTGAGAGCGTAGAGATGATGTCTCAGCATGTGCCGTGCTGTCGCGTGATGTGCTTGGACGTTGCTGGGTTGCTTCAGACATGGCCAGAAATGAAGGGGTTGATAGATTAGGAGGCGACGATTCTGAGACCATACGCAGAACCGTATCAAGTGAAGAAGTTGGTGGTTCCACTGTAGCGCGATCGGCTGCCGATGGCGGTCGATCTGGACATGGCACTGGCATCGTGAAGGTAGAAATGATTGTGAGTTGTCGAATGTTGTTGATAGTTCGGTCTGCGAGATCGCGGTGCTTTTTTTTTGAACCGGCGGCTGGAAGTGAAAGGAGCTTGGTAACGTGGTCCAAGCGTAGCCGTGCCTGTACAAAGAGTGTGGGCGTCTCAGCTTGCTGTGAAACATATCAAAGCGAGCGGTGCACCTTGCGTTCGACGAATCTAGAATAGTTGCTGTGAGCAAGTCGAGTGTGTCCGGTGTAAGGAGTCCCGCGGCTGGTAAAATGCATTGCACTGGTAACAAGTACCAAACAAGACCGATGTAGCAACTCCTGAACTCCAGGTCTCTCTTTGTAGGTTGGTATAACGCCGTCCATATCGAACACCAACACCAACACCGATGCGCTAAATGCTGTGACAAAATCAAACAGACAGATCAAGCAGCTAATGGCCTGACGACGTCCTTCTGAACCCGAAGCCATCCTCCTAATCACCTCCATTGGCCCTGACTCAGTGCCAACAACCCTTCCACGCATCCTGCTTCTTCTGCTGAGCTCAAGTTTGTGCGTGCACTGCCGTTGTCACCGTTCATGAATGCCCTCAATTCGTCGTTTTGCTCTGGGTCGACGGTGCCCTTGCCTCCTTTCTTTGCTTTAGCTAGCAGAGCACCGAGGCTGGCACTCTGTGAGATGATGTTAGTGTTCTCGCCGAGAACTTGACGTGGTCGTGTCGCTGAACCAGGTGTAGCAAAGCCCCGCCTACGCACTGATTTTGGCATGTCTGGCTCCCAGTTCTCCTTGTCGGATTCTGTAGAAGGGAACTCGTCTGACTCTGTCTCATCGCTGTCTCTCTGCTTCTTTCCACTCGAGAACACGTTGAAAGTTGACGCGCGTTGGATGGATCCCCGGGACTTCTTCACTCCTGATGAGCCGAGCACTCTGTGCGAGCTCTGTCTCGACTTCAGAGGTGTGTTCTGTCGTGCCTGGTTCTGAGCGAGGATCCTCCTATTCGCGCGCAATAGTCCAATGGCGTCTGCTGCACTTCCACTGCCTTCCTGCTCTGCGCGTGCTGTCAAGCTTGTGTTGTGTCGTGTATCAGGATCACACCAGAATTCCCAAGCCCTTGAATCTCTACTCCTGCCAATGTTGGGTGAGACCCGAGCCATTTTCGGACTAGGCTCTCCTCTCGCCGCAGCAAAGAGACGATCATTCAAGCCCACAGCACTGTAGCTTCTTCCTAGACCAGCGGCGGCGCGGGCGAAAGGGACCGGGGCCGTCTTTGGATGAGGAGGAGATGGGGTCTTGTCGAGATCTGTGACGATGTGTGCTGAGCCATCTTCGTTTGTGGCTATCCGTACAAAGGAGTGTGCGCGTTTCAGAGGACGCGTGTTCACCGACTTCGATGTCTTAGGGGACTCGGTAGCTTTAGGAGGTGGGTTCGGAAATGTGATAGTCTCTGGCGCGTAGTCTTCAGCAGAGCGTACGAAAGACGCGCTGCGACGGTTCGAGATCCATGATGTTCGAGGTTGAGCACTCTGTGACCCTGATGCGCTCTGCTGGGAGTCGCTGATTTCTGTGGGCGCAGTACCGATAGTCTGAGGGTCGTTGGAGGGCTCTACTGTTGGCTGTGTCGTTGTCTGGGTGTCGTTTTCTGCTACTGCTGTGGTCTTCTCAGTCGTGTGCGGCTCTGGAGCTGTTTCGTCTGAAGCGACTCCAGGCGTCGTTGCTCGCGCTGGTGCGTCGGTCTTGGGCGCCTCGGGCTCCGGCTCTGGCGCGCTCCCGCTGTCGCGCGCGTGCTCGTCTTCAGTCGCGGGATCAGACATATTGGACGACGATGACATCAGCGACGCAGAAGAAGAGGGCTCGAGGGGTCGCGAGCGGCGGCGGTCGTTCTGTCTTTTGTTCTGAAACCAGATCTGTTGGTGGTTTTAGTTGCGCACGCTCGTCACGTGTAACGAAATGGGTGGACAAACCTGGACCTCCTTCTCGCCAAGCGCGACTTTGCTGACAATCTCCAGACGCGCGGCCTTGTCTGGTTTCGAGTTGATCAAGTACTCAGCCTTAAGAATGTCTTCGTCCTCCTTACTGTGGGATGGAGGTCAGCGCACTGGGTTGCGGAGTTGGTGGGGTCATGGGCGCAGCCGAAGTCCGCATGTGGCACGAGCCACCGTGACCGCGTCTCCGAAATGCTCAACACGAGAGATGGGATGGAATGACTTCAGGGGAACAAAACTTACGAAGTGCGTCTGCGTTTCTGACGAGCGAGAGGTTTGTTGTCGACATCTGGAGGCATTTTATTCGCAACTGTTTCTGGCGAATGCACAAGAAATGCAAAATCCGTCGTGACTGTAGGCGGACTGGCGCGTCTGCCAATGGGATCAGACGCGACTGGAAGTGGCGACGAGGGTGACATTTCGAACAACGACCGTGACAATGGGCGAGCAAAAAGCGATTGTGTCAAGAGGCAATTGGCATTAGATCCTGAGGAAAGTAATAGAAAACGAATTGGTGGCAGGGAATGTTGGACGCGTTGGTAGAGCGCGTTGCGCCGGCTGTCGGGATGCAAGACATCATCCTGTGCACTTTCCCCGGTTGAGAACTTGAAGTCCGTGCGTCCTTCCGCTTAAGCCTCATGTTTCTGCAATACAACTTCTGATTCTGCATTCGTCGATGGTCGCACACATGCACTTTTTGTTGATTTTCAATCATGCGCTGTCTAGCTTCCGATTGCAAGTGTCGGTGAGGTGTTGAGCGACTTTGATACGTCGTGGATCATATTCTCCGAATCTGCACCACAGCACGAGCACGAGCTCGGTTATCAGCATGAACCATGGTGGATCGCGAAGAACGCGTCTCGAAACCACGCAGCGGGTCCTGCTAGCCATTCTGCTTCGCCTGGTCAATATGGCTTTGGGTCGTTCTACAGTCTTGACTATTCATTCCTACTGCTACCGTATATGTGGTACCAGTCATCGTCTACTACCTCGCAGCAGCAAAAGATGAAGCCCACGGACTGATTCTTACGCGTCAATTTGCCAGCTGCCTTCATCACACGAGTTCAACAACTTCTTCACATGGCTCGCCTGCTCAAAACATTACAGAAAGGGTAATTGCATTTACACATCTTCGCGCCTTTATTGGCCACAAAGACTCGTATGTCTTTACGCGTCGCGTATGGTGAATGATTTTTGGAAAGTGTTTGTTAAACTTCAATCGTTCCTTCCAAATCGCGTCGTCATGTGACTGACTTAGCCGTTCATGTACTGGTGGCAAAAGAGCTCGGGGAAGCCGCCAGCGGGCCAACCATGGACCTCGGCCCCACCTCAACATCTCTCCTTCACAACCCTCGAGGATCAAAAGTAAAGCAACGCCTTTCATCAGATGATCGCCATTCAACTCGAACTGCCGCCACTGACTCTACGTGCTGAGAAGGCAACAACTAGGCAACGTTCCCGCTACTGCTTCAGCCCAACACCGCCCTTGGCGGCTTCACCGTAAGACGAGCTGAACTTCATGCCGATGTTTACGTCTACGACATATGCACCTACAAGCACTAAACCTCCCGGCATCTGGCCGTCTGCAAGTCTGCAACGAACCTCATACGCTCAATGTCCTTGTCTTGCAGAGGTACTCCACTAGCACCGGTGAAGTCAAACTCACCTCAAGGCAGAAGTCACTCTTGCAAGAGCTGGATTTTGGAAATTGGAACAGTCGCTATCTGCCAGTCATTGTTGTGTAACCACTGCAGACCAACTTGTTCTGCGGCTGCTGCACGCCCTGGGCTTGTTGAACCGCAAACCCGGCAGCGAGGCTGAACGGTTTTCAGTATTACCCGGAGATGATCTAACATCCTTCGAGTCGACCCAGACGCGTGTTCCTGGGATTTCCCTCTGTATGGCGGGTCCGAACTTGTGTTCCTGAGGCATTATCGGGCAGAGCGACGTCTTGGACGGGTCACCGGATTTTGGTCCCATGATCCTAGCCGTTTTCCTTAGCAACCTCACTCCCTTTCGAGTAGTGTTTGATTGGTGAGTCTCTCATGCGAATGTATCTGACTGTATGCTAGACAAGTCGCTAGACATGCAAGTCCAGCATCTTTCCGCCGCCGCGGTTCTGTCATTCCGGTACATGCACCCCACACAAGTCCACACAAACATCATGTAACGTCGAGTCAAATCATAGTTTAGGGCTAGCCCTATGTGTTTGCCCACGCTTTCCTTTAATGTGAGTCGACTGGAAGAGCTTGAGGCCCGCGGCAAGACGCCACAAAGTTCCTGCATTTGTTCACGCACCTAACACTCTTAAGTCTTTTCTCTACCGCATGGAGGCCTCAAGCATGTGATACTGCATTCGAGTTGACCAGAATTGACGCGTACATTGTGGGGTATATTTTCACCCTTGATTCGTGGATAATCCAGGAAATCATTAACCAAGACATGCGGCTCTCTGAGCCTGGCATCCTCGCCTGCGAGTGCAGGCGACATCCGCCCTTGACCACGCGTTGATACACACATGCAGACACTGCACATCGAGATGGTCCATGGTATGACCAGGACTAAAGGGCGCCTACCTTGACTCTTTGACGCTAATCAGCTCTGGTCGTAATATGTGGTCACATTGGTAGCTGTCGCAGAGACCAGTCGAAAGCAGGCAACCGCAGGGACCACCATAAAGTCATCTCGCTGTTGGTCATCTCTCACTGCTCAAGTTGCCTACACACAGACATCCCTGCGCGTTTCAAAAGACGGTGGGCGTTTCTTCCGTCCCGCACTACATTTCACCCAACTTGAAGTTCCGACGTCCTTGTCATAGCGTAGGTTGCATCCTCTTCAATTTCGGAATCATTGGCTTACACAGTTTAGATCATTTGGGTTGGAGGCGTATGGAAGTCCTACCCTGTGTCGCTTAAGGATCCAACCTTCCTAGAGTGCACACAACCTCCGATCTTACAAGACTGCACGTTCCTTCACCGTATTCGAGCCCACTACTCTACCTCTGAGTCATGGGCATCAATACTTTGTGTTACCGTGATAGACGCTTGGTCGTGGAGATAAGAGATTTGGCATGGAAAGACGCCTTTATGAAGTCGTCCAAATCACGAAAGTGCACAGCAAGAACACACTCAAATTACTCAGGTTTTCGCTGAGCCGCGTTTCGACGAAGCATATCCACCATGCGTGTAGCTGTTGCCGGTACTTGCAGCCTCGCACTCCTGATTGCTCAAAAGATCCAGGAGTCAACCAGTCATCAAGTTATTATTCTGTCCAGAATAGTGAGTATCAAGAAGTTTCGTTGGATTTCACCTAGTAACTACATCTTTGCGTCAACACTGACACATTTTAGAACCAGACTGTCCTCATATCGCAAGGTTATCAGTGCCAAGTTGTGAACTACAAGAGTTCGTCATCCCTACAGCACGCATTGATGGGCGTGGACACAGTCATTTCGACAGTGACCGGCAAGCCCCAGCTCCGACTCATCGAAGCAGCCGTGCAGTGTCGCGTTCGTCGATTTGCTCCAGCCGAGTTCGAAGGCCAACCAGGGCAGCGAGTGCCGAACAGCATACTAGACCGCGGCCAGAGCCCAGCTCTCAATTTGCTCCGGCAATACGCTGCATACATCCAGTCGACTGCCTTTGTGTGCGGCATCTTCTACGAACGCTTCGCTGTTGGCGGGCTTCGAGCACACCAGATCGGCGCCAACATCGCAAGTGGTGAAGGAGACTACATTGCAGACCTTCGCAACATGACTGCGGTAGCACCAGTCTACGATGCTGCAAACAACTACTCGTACCTTTGCTTGACATCGATATACGATGTCGCCAAGTTCGTGGTCCGGTCATTGGATATACCGCGTTGGCCTGTGGAGATGTCCATGTGCGGCGAGAGGATGAGTGTCAACGCTCTCATCGAGCTCATCAAGACATGCAGAGGTGCGATCGTATTCTTACCCTAGTCGAGCGTGACTGACTCCGCCCTAGGTCGTCCGTTGCATCCTCTTGAGTGGCAGAACCCATCAGGTAAACCCATTAACCTCACTCTTGGTCTCCATATACTGACCGTCATCTACAGGTCTCCAGTATCAACTCAGCGTCGCTGATGACATTACCCAGCAGCAACGTATCGCAACACATCTGGCCACGGCCGAAGGACGTTACGACTTCGTTACACCTGCGTACTTGAATTCCATGTATCCGGACGTACTGACGACCTCCTTTCAAGCTTGGCTGTCGCACACCTGGGCTGCGATACCCTAACCGAGCGGTATTGTTACTGATAAACTTCCGTCCTAGAAGCTTTTTTTCGCGTAATTACCACCCTGCAGCAACCACAATCAACTGCTTTCAACGCCGTTCTCTTTCACCGAATTGTTCTACGTAGTATTTTTCAGACTGACAACGGGAAGAGGGTTCCTCCAATGACATACGCACACAATGCGCGAATACAAATCGTCCACCATGGTGCTTCCTATTTCCAGGTTCTTCGCGATATCGCGATCGTGAGACAAAGATGCCCAGTTGCATGATGGCTTAGGCCGTCCAATGATGATGCAATGTGTTGACTTTGGAGCAGGGCACGCGACCACGATCCTTCGGCTTCAGAACCTTATGGGGCTCAACGTCGTCAAAAGCTCCTCTCTCAGGCATCGTGCCTCCACCGAACCAGGGAAATGCGGCTCAACCCTTCCGAAAGTCCCTGCAACAGCACTTGCATTGCTCAATTCTGCAAAACAGTCCCCGCTTGATGATGCAGGGACCCACTGAATTGTGGTTGATGAGGGCATGCGAACCTTCGATGAGGGTCGTAGTTTTTGTGTCAAAATGATGTCACGGTCTTGGCCCGCTCCCCTCGTCAATAAAGTTCCCAAACGCGCCTGCGAAAAGTGATTTCTCTTTAGTACCATAACCACACATTTAATCGCACTCCAAAACTCATCGACATCACTTCTTTATCTTATCTTTTCCAAAGACCTAACAACGTAAGTTTTGATCTATTGTTGCGACGTGTGGAAGCTTCAACTTCGCCTTGACAGCTCCTCAATCATGCAACCTACTCGTCGCGAACACCACAACTAACACCAACCCAGCCACACATCACTCAAAATGGTTTACTCGAAGCAAGGCTACGCTCCCACCACCACCGACATGAAGGCTAACCCCTCCACCGTCGACGAGGTCAAGTCGAACCTGCCTCTCCCCGAGCAGCCGCCCACGGCCTCCGACTTCAACTCCTCCGACGCGCGCACCGTCAACGTCGGTTCCGGCGGTCAGTCTGCCGATATCTCTGCCTCGGGCCAGGGCGGCTCGACTCTCCGTGAGCCCGCATCCATTGGTTCCGTTGGCGCTGCTGGCCGCGAAGGCAAGGATGGCTTAAGCGGTATCCCCAATGATGCTGTTACCCGCGACCAGAAAGACCACCCTGGGCTCCAGAACACTACCGGCAAGGACTACGGCACTCCTTCCAGCGCCAAATAGATGTTTGATACATCTGTGAGCTGAATGAAGAGGTGTATATATGCAATGCATGATTGCACGGCGTTTAGGATACCGGATTTTTGATTTTATGTTAGGAGAGGGGTGAATGCCATTGATGGCCGCTACGTCAGCGAATACGGTAGCATGACTGCAAGAGCGGTCTAAGTTATATGAATGAACATAGGATCTAAACATACCCTCAACTTGTAATTGTGATGTGCTCGAAGCTTAATGTGTGTACCATCTGCAGTCTCCTAACCCAGATGTTGTTATTTGGTCACCCTTGGTACCTGCCGTGCCCGCCATAGGTCTTACCTGGCGCAGACTGTGGACTACTCAATTAGGACTAGTCACTTTTTACTCGGCTTCCTTCAATAGCTCTCCTCCATTACTCTTGTTCCTCATTTTGTGATTTCAACAATGGAATCACCTGGTCCAAACAATTATCCGGACACTTTTTGACGCTAGTTCTCCAACACACCTTCCCCACACAACACCTTCATTGCAATGCGTGATAACTCCACAACTGTAGGTCACTGTAGGCAGGCAATCGGACACAGGATGGATTGGGGCCAAATGGGGCCAAATGGGATGAGATTAGACAAACCCTTGATGGCTGAGCCTCAAAGTTTGTGAGGAATATATACAGGTGGCCTGTGAGCCTCTGGTCCAGCCCCAGAGTACATCTGAGGGCTGGCCAATACATGTAAGGGGAAATACTTGTGACAATTTCCTCCTTGGCTTGCAGCTGTGTCATCCTGACATGGCTTGCAGCTGTGTCATCCTGACATGGCTTGCAGCCAACAACAACCCTTCCAGTCCTTATACTTGTATTAGCATCCATTTGTCAGCTTGCCACCCATCTGTTACGATCCTACGTCCCACGATAGGACGGCAGGCAATAAGTAACCACCAACCAAACACGGAAGCCTGGAGGAAGGTGCAGCAAGGCAAGGCTGCCCGGCCGGTGCCTAGGGGATTGCTCTCAACCGAGCTGACCCATGTGACGGAGCTCATCAACAAGCAATGTCATGTGAGTGCTTGTCAACGAGCATGGTACAATGCTCGTTGACGAACTGCAATCCATCTGGATTGGCCAGGACCAACTCTGCTCGTCAATGAGAAGATCTGGTGGACTGTATATATATGTGTAGGAACACAACCCTTATGGTTTGTGTTAACCTCGTCAATTAAGTTTGTCATTGGATCTCAACCAACCTTTGAGCTAGACAGATTGCCTGTACTACTCATCATTACCCCAAGCCATCGTTAGGTGTTTCACCCAGGTGACTTACCCCTACTGTTCCAGTACCAGAGCTCATCCTCAAGAACCAATTGAATAGTGCTTACGAGCTTTGCTTAAAGTACAACTTCAACACCATCTAGGTATATGAACCCCCTTCTTCCCACCTCTAGATAGTTCTCACTCATGCTTGCAACTCAATTCAATACTTCAACCTTCACTCCTCAACTCACTCCTTACTGATCCTTTGTGGTATCCCTACACTTGATCCCTTCTTTATCACTTATCCTTTTTACCACTTGTGGTATCCCCA